CTATTATGTATTATGTATGTGAGTCATTAAGCTGGTAAGGGAAATGGTTACATCAGAATAACTCTGGAGTCATATAACAAACATATTGTTTCCTTAAAATAGAAACACTGTCAGTATTGTAACCTCTCTTTTTCTTCCCATCCATCCTTTCTGTGTTATTTCCCACTTGTTTACATAGTCATTAAAAGTTGGGGGTGTTACAAAAGGAAAAAGCTTTTTTTTCAACCTCATCCTCTCAGCACTGTCCATAAATGGAAATTTATTTTTAGGCCAGTGCTTCAACCTATTCATGCCCAGCAAATACATTTAGTAAGGTAAAGGAAATGAAATACAACTGGGACTAGAGATCAAGTCAAATGCAATGTTGTATAGTTGTACTTTGGATGAACATCTAACATTAGGCAGAAATTTGTGGATTATATATCATTTCCATGCTTCGATTTTCTTGTGTTAAAAATTAGTAGTCCCATGTGAGCAAAACACTAAATATATTATGATTCAGAGTGAGTGATAGAAACTCCCTTTTTAGCCATATGGTTTGAATTTGCATTGATTTGAAATTTCTTCAGATTTGTGCTCAACTTCATTTTCAGATATTGATATGACTGAGTTAAATACTTAATTCTGACCTTGGGCAGTGTCAGGGGTCGGCTTACAGGTTCTAAACAGTAAATATTTTTTTACCAAAGTCTCACATCTTTGTTTATGACCTGTAGTTTATCACTATGTTATGATCCTTGTCATTTTTACTCACAAATGAAATCTTTCAGAGTTGCTTCTCACTCATCGCTCTTCATGCATTAGTATTGTAGACGCTTCTCCCCCTATAGGCTTAACCATATCCCACCCCCACCTTTACCTGTGACTTAGATTTGATCCAGTGCTAAACAAATTTGCTTTTAATGCACAAATGTATAGTCACACATGCAAGCATAGGCAGTTTGGAGCACTTCAGGGTCTGTTGGTTATGAAACACTGACAACGCTTAGTATAATGTATTTATAGACTGAGCTGCTACAGCAACAAGTCAGTCAACTGGTAAAGTTTTGAAAAGAATTGGTCCACTATGAGTATCGGTCAGTGCAGACAGATCGAAAAGACTATGGGAACCATAGATTCCTCTACAAGCAATAACAATTTTTGTATCTTACACATTGTTAAATTACAGGCTTAAAACCTATGTTGCTAAATTCAGTTATATTTACTTTCGAGCAACAGCGTGTCATTTTGTAATGTGTGAGTAGTTGTGTGCAGTTGTGGGACAAATATCTGGACACAATTCAGATATTCATTGGTTTCATTACTTTTTCAGGACTTTTTTATTAATGCTCAGGCATGGAAAAAATACAGATAAATTACACTTAATGAAAGTATGGATAATTTATTTTACTTAAATGTGGAAGTATGGAGCAAAAATGCACATGAGATACACAGTCAGGTCCAAAAGTATTTGGACAGTGACACAATTTTTGTAATTCTGCCTGAAATGAAACAATCAAGATGTGAGACTTTCAATTTGAATTTAAGGTGTTTAAAAATACTGCATTAACCATTTAAGAATTACGTCAAACTGTAACTGTAAAAGTATTTTACAGTAATAATCCTGGAGTACGGCACAACTATTATAGTTTGCATTACTTAAGTATCAATTTGGGAGATTTGTACTTGAGTATTGAAATTGAATACCTAAGTACAACAATGTATACCAATAGTAAAGCATATGTAACGATACCTAAGAAAAGTAGTCATTTAAGTTTTTACAATAAGTACAATCATTCACGTTTTCGCCACCCTGTAAATGGCTTTATTTAGAGACCTCAATCAAAATAACGAAAAGTTATTACAGTAATAGTCAGTGCTACTACATCACTGTATAGTTTGTGCACAAACCTCCACTGACAGTTGAAATCAGAACCTATTTCTAGGAATATGTTTTCCCACTTTTCCTAAGAGTATTCAAATTTGGAAGCTTTGCAAGTAAAATATATGACAAGGAACAGGAGTTTTCTCCTTAACTCTCTAGATATTATGTAAATTAGGAAACATACTGCAAGCCCAGACTTGTGCTTGCAAGATTGTTCCTCTTAGGCATGTGCATGTGTTAATTTGTTCTACAAAAAAGTATTTCTGGTCCTACCTACTCTCCCAACAATACACGTTTGTGAACTACACAGGTGATTCAGAACAATAAATATGTAATAAGTATATCACTGCTGTCAGAACAAAACCTCATATCTCCAAAATAGTAGCTTTACAGAAGAAAAAAATATACTTTACTTTCAATGTAATCAAAATTTTTTTCTAAGCAATTTTGGGTTATTTCTTTTGGCCCAATCATCATGAAATTTACACAAAATATAATGGGCAACAGGCGTTTTCAAATAATGTCAAAAACTGAAAAACAAAATAACCAAAAAATGGAGATACAAAGTTTTGTCCTCATAGCAGTGATATTCAGATGATAGCAGTCCTAGAACCAATACTGGGTAGGGTCTCCCTTTGCTCTCCATGTTGAAATGATTGCATCATACAATTCCTGCAGATTGCTTGGGTGCATTTTCATGCTGCGACTCTCCTATTCTACCACAACCCAAAGGTGTTTTATTGGATTCAGATCCTGTGACTGGGAAGGCCCCCTGAAGAACACTGAGCTCACTGTCATGTTCATTAAACCAGTTTGAGACAACTTTTGCTTTGTGACATGGTGCATTATCATGCTGGCAGTAGCCACTGAAAGATGCTCAACGGTGGCCATAAAGGGATGCACATGGTCAGCAACAACACTCAAATAGGCTGTGACATTCAAGCAATGATTGATTGGTATTAAACCCTTAAAATCCCAGACTTATTACATACTAAGGCTTATTATTCAGTAACTACAAGGACAATGCAAACTGACTGAACTATTTTTAGGTTATAGGAGTGTTTAATAAATCCCCGGACATGTAAGGGGTTAACAGGCCCAAAGTGGGCAAATAACATTCCCCTGGATCCATGCTGCTGGTGCCCAATTCTGACCCTACCATTTGTGTGCCTTAGCAAAAATTGAAATTTATCAACTCAAGTTTTTCCAGTCTTCACCTGTCCAGTTTTGGTGAGCCTGTGCCCAATGCAGCCTCAGCTTTCTGTTTTTGGCTGACAGAAACGAAACTCGACATGATCTTCTGCTGTTGTAGCCCTCAAGGTTTGACATGTTGTGCATTCCGAGATGCTTTTCTGTTCACCACAAAAGTGTTTTTCTGGGATACTGTAACCTTTCTGTCAGCTTGAACCCAATTCGGACCATTCTCTGCTGACCTCTCTCATCAACAAGGCATTTCCTTTCACAGAACTGCTGTTCACTGGATGTTTTTTCTTTATTGCAGCACTCCGAGTAAACTCGAGAGACTGCTGTGAGTGACAATCCAAGGAGATCAGTAGTTATAGAAAAACTTAAACTAGCCCATCTAGCACCAACAATCATGCCATGGTCAAAATCACTATGATCACATTTTTCCCCCATTCTGATGGTTGAACATTACCTGAAGCTGCCAGCCCATATCTGCATGCAGATGTATATAATATTAATATTTTAATGAATAAAATATTTAGATATTTTATCCATGTGGAAATGATGTACACATTTCTATTAAGTCAATGCAATGTATCATTGTCTTGACTAATTCTCCCTTTGATAATATCACTCTCAGCAATGTTTGAGTTTTGAGATCTTTCCTCAAATTAGACTCAGCTTATGTTTTTCCAACAGGTTTCAGGTCCGGCCATTGAAAAAGCTTCATTACAGGTCAGTGTGTTGACATGGAAGAAAGCAATGACCTGCTGAAGATCCAGTATCCAGTAAGTAGACCAAATCTGAGTCCATGGCAGGTTCAAATTGAAGGAAACAGCCCTGAAACATATCTAGCACTGCATTTCCATGATTATTTTCTGACTACCCATGTGTTTCTTCTACACCAAACCTGTTTTGGTTTCTCCTGACCCGACAACGCACTTCCACTCTAGATTCCAGTGAAGTGTAGAAAACTCCAGGCGCTTACATTTGTATTTTGATAAGAGTTGGGATATTTTTTGCTGGCACAGCTTCCAAATGACTCATTGCCATGGAAGTGGATTCTTATCAAAGTTTGATCGACATCTTCAACTGCAATTCTTGGATCAGAGTGGCACGCAATTCACAGCTACCACTTTTGAGAGCACTAAATGTTGCATAGTGTTTCTCTTTGTCTCAGGTACGTGTGAATATCGAGTACTGTGCAAAAGTCAGAGACCACCCTTCACTTATTTCATTTCCAGTCAAAATGGCCATTAAGTTATTAATTTTTCAAGAGATAATTCTGAGAAGATTACACAAAAGATAAACTTACATAAAAAAGGTAAATAAGTGAAAAAAAAAAAACATTTTCAAAACTGCAGTTCAAAAATTACTAAAAGGTACAGAAAAAATGGAACTCCAAAACCTGGTAGACACCAAACTGTTACTATCAGATAAACAGCACTTAAAACTTTCATCTTTGAGAGAGAGGAGAAAATCAAGCGGCTGGTGTTTTCAGAACAATAAACTGACCACCCCAGAGTCCAGACCTCAACATCACTGAATGTGTTTGGGATTACTTGGATCATTAGAATTAAAAAAGTGCAAACAACTTCTAAGACTGAACTTTGGAGATGTGGAAAAAAACCTTGCAGATTTCTCTGAAAAACTGAAAGTTAGTTCCTTATAAAGAACGGAAACTGTAATAAAGGCAAAAAGTGGACACTCTAAATACTGAAAATGACAGGATTCTGTGTAATTTTTTGTTAAAACTTTGTTTTCTGCTCTTTTCCTGAAAAATCAATAACTAGTACTTGGCTGTTTTGACTAGAATCGCATCCCATGATTATGGCACATATTTTGCTTAGTTTGAAGATAGGGCAGCACTGCTAATGAGAGCACTGCTAATCATACTAGAGTAGTATGAAAAGAGGATCCTTCTTGAGCAGAGCAGGAAGAAGTAAACATATTACAGTATTTTTAATAGTGGCCAGTTTATTAGAAACACCTACCTTGTACCCACATTCACTGGCCGTTTTACCAGAAACACCTACTATATAGGTACACTGTGTAGGTTTACAGTTGTTGACTGTAGCCCATCTGTTATTGCACCCCTTCTACCACATCCATTAATGGAAAGGGACCACTGCTGACCAAATATTAATTGGGTAGTGGACCATTCTTAGCATGGCAGCAACACTAACATAGCAGCGGCATAGACAGGAAGACAAAAAAATCTATTGTTCAGAGTTAATTTGATTCTTAAGTGCTGTAATAATAATATCTGGTGAGGTAATAAGTAATAAAGGCAATTCGTTAACAGTGTCAAATTGTCACAATTCATAAAAAATGATGTGATCATCAGAAATAGCTAAGCAGCTTCATACTGAAACATACAGAAACATTCTGTCCAATTGTAAACACACTTTCAGTCCTCATCAGAACTAACATGCATTTCAATGTCAACACAGTCATTACACTGTCATCGTTATCTTTGCTGCCATCCTCATTATTATCATTGTCTATATCCTCAACAGCTAAATGTTTATATTCAATGTCCAGGCATTTCAGGAAGATCATAAAAGGCTCTAGTGAAAAGCAGCTGGGCTGCATTACTAGGGTTCCAGTGCAAAACTCCTTGAGGTGGTTCAGTACAGTACAACCACTAGATGGAGCTATTGTTTCACTATTGCCTTCTTGAAGGCAACACGGTTAAAATTGTTAAATTACAATGAACAGACCAAAATTAAATACTATCGTTCTAATGTCTATGGAGTCCCAGTGATTTTAGTAGAAAGAGGAGGGAGGTACTGAATATTAAAGTGTCAAACAAGCTCCAGATTATAACAAGGATTTCCAGTGTTGCTTTTTTAGGAGACTCTAAAGTGCAGCTTCTTTATAGCAGTAGTGTCATTGACATTAAAACTAAAGTACATTCTTCATTCTGACCCTGCAATCAGTACAGTTCCATGCAGTCCATTCAGTGTGGAACATACTGTTCATGTAAATGTGTATGTGTTTTTACACATTACTGATTCTAACGCTAAAGGGGCTACTGTCTCTCATCCTCCCTCGCTCTTCCCCTCTTTCTCTGTAACTTTGCTCTAACTGCATCTTCTCTGGGTCCCCTCCCTCAACTCCTCCGCTACTACTGTAATTTTGACGGTTGGAAGGCGGTGACTCTTTGAAAAGGGGTGGGGTCTTGGCCTTGATGACCTTGTCAAAGTAGGCAAGGTCCGCTACGTATTTGCCCATTGGAGACAGAGAGACGATGGGCGGGAACTCATAGCCCCAGAGGATCTCGTCAGGCAGGTAGGACGTGCGCACCTGGCAAGTGGCAGAGGTGGGTTCCACTGTAGAGCTCATCATCACTAGCAGCTCAAAATCCGCCAGCTCTGGGTCTGTCCACCCCCCACCTGAGACAGAGAGAGAAAAAAGAAAATCTTCAGTAAAGCTTTAGATTAGATTCAGACTAGACGGTTTCAGTCCATTTGGTGCCCTCAAGATTCTTATACTGTTAGATCTCAGGGCAGCATCTGATACATTTTGTCATATCCTACTTCATAATTACACAAGGTGCCTCTCAAGGATGTTTAATTTGTGCCCTCCTTTTCACCATATACTGTATATGCTTCTTCTTGGTCATATCATTCAGTGACACAGTCTTAACTTCTACTTTTATGAAGATGGCACTCAGATTTATCTCACTCCTTTTTCATTAGTTCCATAATCCACAATCTAAAACTGTGATTGATTTCCAACTTTCTTAAATTACATCAAGACAGAACAATTTTCACTACTGGTCCGAAAACTGCTTTCTAAAATTCCCACATTTTCAAGTAACACTGATAGTGTCATTGCCAAATCCTGAGTTCTTCCATTCTCATGCCTTTTCTCATGCCTTTTTTCCATAAATAAGAGACTGTCAAACCTTAGGTCACCCATCATGAGGCAACTTTTATTAGATAGCTGTATGCCACTACAGGTCATGCAAAAAGACACAGAAAGATGCTTTTTTCATTTAAAGACCCCTTTTTAACATGTAAACACAGCATCATTGTGTCTAAGGTACCAAACTGTAACTGTTTTTAAGGTGGAAAATTTAAATAAGCTGGCAAACAAGAAGTCACCTTCAGCTTCAATGTTCCCCAGTTAAATGTGAGGTAGCATTTGAGTGTTGTGTTTAACAATCAAAAATGTTTCTCTGTTATAGTGGTGGGGTGGGTAATATCCTAACGATTTAGCTCCCTCTACTAGTGCAATCTTGGCATACTTTTAGATCTTACACTTTTCATTCATACATGCACACACACATATTGTAAATGTACCCTTGGCTGCCCATGCTCTAAGTGGGCTGTCATTGTCAATAGTGTGGTAGAAGGTGAGGGGAAGGATGAGGAAGGGACTCTCGCTGGCTGTGTCCACACTGAAGGTGACGTTTCTCTGGTCCAGACGCACCGTCTCGCCCTCTTTAGACACGCATGGCTGCAGCAGCTTCCCTGTCACCTGCAAAGTGCCTTTTCAGTTAAGTTTGTGTTCATAATACACATTCAGCAGTACGTAAACATTATAGCATATAGGCCAGTAGGTCCACAGGATGGATTACTACTATCCTAACTGCATCAGGTGACAATGGACAAAAAATGTGAAATAGGCTGGGCGACTATGACTATGATTACAAGCTCCTCCCCCATTTACCTGGCAGCCCAGTAGGAGGCTTTTGCGCATATTGGCCACCCTAATCATGAGACATGGCCTCCCATCGTGATTGGCTACCACTGCATGCTGGCTAAAGCGGACTGTCTCACCACGTTTCTTTGGCCGAGCCACCTGAAGCAGGGCAGGGAGAGGAATTGGGAGAAAAGGGGGAACAGACAGAGAGAAAGACAGTGAAAAAAAGGATTCATCAAAGGTAATAAAATGCTAAATGACACAACAGGTTTATTTGATGCCTGGCAAAGAGGTATTGAAAGGATAAAGCATCATAAATGCAGTACTTGGTAATGACGAATTTGTTGATGTTTCACTGACATCATCTTAGCACAATCACTGGGCCTTGAAATGTAGTCCCCAGATTTCTAACCATAAAACAATTTCTAATGAAATTATTACAGAATGTAAGATCTTCATGGTTAATGGCACTGAGTTATTGCATCCTTATGCCTTTTTCCACATAAAATAAATAAGAGACTGTCAAAGCTTAAATTATCCATCATGAGACAACTTTTATGAGATGGCTGCATGCCACTATTGGTTATGCAAAAAGGCATGGAGAGATGCTTTTTCATGTAAAGACCCATTTTTAACATGTAAGCACATGTTAAAACGCTTGTGTCTAATTTGTGCATCATTTAAGGTGGAAAATTCAAATAAGAAACTGGCAAATAAGCCAACTTCAGCTTTGTCCATGTAAGTTGTTATAGTAAGTAATGTTATCCAGTTCAAAGTGAGGTAACGTTCTATGTTTCTGCACCCACGAATAACATGAAATAACACAGAATTTTGTTTTTCAGTGTGAACAAAAGGTGTCTAAATGGTGCACCTTTGCAAGGAAGGTTCCGGTGATGAAGATCTCCATGGCAGTGGTGATAAGGAGCTGAATGATAAGCAGGACGATAGCAGACGGGCACTCTTCGGTGATGCAACGGAAGCCGTAGCCAATGGTGGTCTGTGTCTCCAAGGAGAAGAGGAACGCTCCTGTCAGAGTCTGCATCTGCATCACACAAAGTGTGTGGTTGGCCGGAGGCTCAAACTCTGGAGGGGAGGAGACAAATAACACACACACCCTGCTTAATATGTCACGAGTTCTTTTTCTGCTCTGGTTACCTCTGCTGGTTAGACTTGAGCTCTGAGTATTTCATTTCCCAGAATGCACAAAGAACAACTGTTAACATCACCTAGTTTTATCTATCTGTAATTTGTCCTCTCCCTCACTCCACCACCTTTCCCTTTCTCCTTTTACTGTGTCCCTACAGCCCTCTTCTCATGCCATTTTCTCCTATTTTCTATCTTCCTTTTCTTTCCCAGTAGTATTGACAATCTAACCAGAATATCATCTGGATTTGGTACAGATTTGTTGTATGCAGTGCAGGTTAGGTTGTCCATACTCTTATATGAAAGAAAAGAATGCAGTACTCTCCTTGTGACATCTCTGCAATCTGTTTGCTAGGGCAGTGGTTCCTAAACCTCTGCACATTTTAGTGTAAGCATACAGTTTTCTCAAATAACGTTAACCAAAAATTGAGCCTGCGTAATACAAAGTGTAAAGAATATTCCTATTACACAATGTCCAACTTGGGCTTCAGTTAGCTAACCTGATCCACCTTATGATACAACTAATCAACTGAATAAGCCCCTCTTGAGTTACCTTCTCAATTAATTGGCAATGATTAGTTGGCGATTTGTATGATGATAATATCAATGCATATTTTACATTGTCCTATTGGTCTTATCCTGAAGGACATATGCATATATGTGCACATTTTTGCTATAGTATTTTCATTCATTCATTCATTCATTCATTCATTCATTCATTCATCCATTCATTCATTCATTCATTCATCCATCCAATAATTTGAAATCTTTAAAGGGTTATGCATGGATTGTTATTGTTTGGCCCTTTTAAAAACTTAGAATTTTTTAATTAATCATCAAAATAATCTGTAAATAACTCAATTAGCAATATAATTAAAAGTGACAGCTATAGATGGAATGAGCAATTACCTCAGTTACTGATAATGGTATGTTGGCGCAGACAAAGCCACATTAACAAGGAGCTGCAAAATAATAAATTAAGCACACTCGTATGAAAAGAGCTGCATGTGATGCAGGTATGCTAACGTATTAGTGATATTACACAGTGTGACTTAATTTTTCTGCAGTGTTTTGCATTAAGCTGAAAAATCAACAGCAACACAGGCCAATAACTGAAGGTATGAGTTGAAGAAGTGAGATGGCAACAAACAGCCCCATGAGATTAAATCATGGATATGGATAGGCATTTTAACTATTTTTTGCTCCTTTGCATATCCCAACAACAAAACATTGCATTTAGTTATGAATAAACAAGGCCGCCCAGTGTCTCACTTGTAAAATATTCAAGTAACATATTCTTTATTTTTTATGTAGCAATATTACAGTTAATAACTGAAAACATTTGTGATATCCAGAGATATCTTTTTTTTTTGAGGGGACTCTCGCCTGTAGTCTAGAGCCGGCACTGGTAACAGACTTACTAAAATGTGTAGGGCAGGGGTACACCAGGACGAGCACTGGAACTGTGCTAAAAAAAATGACTGACCATTCTGTGTTTCACTTCAGTGTTTTGGCCTGTCTAGTTGATACAGTGGCCTCCTAGGTGAGGCTGCTTACCCAGCAAGTCTCCATGTACCAGGGCCAGCAGGTACCACAGCAGTCCAAAGGTGAACCACGTTCCAACAAAAGTGGCACTGAACAGTACTAGCTTGTATCGCCACTGCATGTCCACAAAGGTGGTCCAGGGGTCGCGCAGATACAGAGCTCCCCGCCCACTCACGTGCTCAATGCGTACATTGCTCCGCCCGTCTTTGGACAGGACACGGCGGCGGCGGCGGTGCGTCTGGCTCCCGGGCCCTGTCCCACTCAGCAGTGGCTTCAGGGCATCCGTCTGCGTCTGACAGTGGCACACCTTCTGGTGGGCGGAGCCATGCGGAGAGGTGGGCACAGATGATGTCATCTGCAAATAACAACAAAAATGCATCACATTAGCTATTTTATTGCTGGCTTAGATCTAGGTATAAAATGTACTACAAATTACTCATAATTTGGATCCACTTAAATCTTAAACAATGTATATACAAACTAGACACCAGAATCATGACAATATTTTGGGAACAGTTATAAGTTATTAAATGACAGATGATATACTTTATTTATCTATTTACAATATTTTTGGTTAAGTATTCTGCCAAGAGAATTTATCGCCACTTTTCAAATATGAGGCATTCTGGATATTAACTTTATTAAAACTATTATTGATGCTATATAGCTTTTATAGTCATCAATATCTTTTCCAGGATCCTACAAATCATTAGAAGCCTGTGAAGTAGCATAGGACCAGCATGTTAAAATCATATTTATATATAGCATAATTTCAAACTTTTGAACTGTAAATATGAAATTCTTTGGTCAACAGACAGACAGAAATACAGTATTTGACAGTCGACCCCATTGAACTTCTATGGGAACCTTTAAGCACTCTGGGTTGACCTCTCTACTGTAGTCCTCAGCCTGACCACAAGAGGGAAAAGCACCTGCCAAAGCATCTGATGAAAAAAGGGGGACACAGTATTGCTTTACTCGAGAGCTGCCTTAAACGCACAAAGGAAGCATTTGTTGATGAAAAGAATGAATGGATGAGATTGAGGGATTAAGTGAACGAGAAAAGTCACTTTCTCCAAGTTCCCAGGCTATCCATCTAGTCATCTCCTTCTCTCTCCCTCTCCCTCTCCCCTCATTTTGTTCGTCTCTGGGTGTGATCATCCTTCTCTGGCTAGGCCACACAAGGACCTCTCTTTCTCTCAGCTGCTCTTCCTCACTGCTTTCTACTGTTTGTTTGAATGGCCTAGTCATGTGTGTCTAGAGGAATGGATGCAAGAGGTTCACGCGCACACACACACACACACACACACACACACACACAAATACACATAGACACTAGGGTCTGACTGATACTGATTTTAAAAGGCAAAAAATTAGCAAAATTAGCAATAATATCTTACTGAGTTTGTTTAATGTTAATTACTCGTTATGTCTAATCAGTTGTCTTCATAGAAAATGTTTGCTTTTACATATTTTTGCATGTTTTTGTTATCAATCCACAGACATTTAGAGGAAATCATACTAAAACTAGTGTTGTTGGGAAATGCATCTTTTGAGATACATGAGACTTTGAGAAAAAATGAATTGACTAATGAAGTAACTAGCAACTTCACCTGCTACTTTCAGTGGTGGCCATCCCTGGACCTGTTGCTGAAATAGCCACTGGATGTGTCATGTGACCCTTCACTGGATCCACCACTGACCTACCACTGGACTTGCCACTGTACTCATCCCTAGACCTGCCACTGTACTAGTCTCTGGACCTGCCACTGGACACATCACTAAACCCATCACTGGATCTGTCACTAGACCCATTACTGGATCCAGCACTGACCTACCACTGGAACTGCCACTGTACCAATGTACCACTGTACCAATCACTGGGCTGGCCACTGTGCAGGAGCAACAAGTAACCAGCCCACTGCAGGCAGGAGTAGGACGAAGCATACACAAAGAGAAATTCCGCAAATTAATGAAAAACCTAAAAAAAGTTTACAATATAAAATAATAACAGTAAAACGATTAAAATGAATGAAGTCATTTTAAAGAGTTGCAAAGTAATCAATCATGTGAACAACATGCAAATTCTTGTAGTTTACAGAGATGGTGGAGCCTTCAGCCCAACAGCCACAGCTGCCCAGCCCAGCAAAATACCCAAAATAACCATTCTGTGGTTTAATTCTTGCTTTGTGTTTACTGGGAATAAATGGCGTTTGGTGAAGTCACAGTGAGTCTGATGACCATGAGTACCATGTTATTTCAGCAGAGATTAATGTATTTGTGAACAGGCAAACGTCAAATATTGGATGTCAGTTCACCTTGACGACACTGCGTGAGTGGAAGTGGGCGAAAACATTTCAGTTACAGGCAGGAGAGGGACAAATGTTCCCAATTTTCTACAGGAGCGGGATGACGTCTTGTGGGAGCAAGCGGGAAAGGGACTGAAAAAAACAGTTCCACAAAAACCTCTACTATACCGGACACTGCAATCAAACCATCACTGTATCTACCACTGGACCTCCAACAGGCCCTGCCACTAGATTTGCCATTTGACCCACCACTGGACCCGCCAGTGACCTACCACTGAAACCATCACAGAACCTGTCATTGAACCTGCCTTTGGACCATGGACCAGTCATTGGACCTGCCTCTTGACCTGCCATGGAAACTGTCACAAGATCCACCACTTCACCCACCACTGGCCCTACCACTGGAACTGCCACCGGACCCATCAGTGTCACTGGACCTGCTACTTCACCCATCACTAGACCTGTCACATTTTGAGGCTGCCCTCAATCGATATTATCAGCCAACTGATATATGGCAGCAACAATATATATTTATATGTATTCTAATATAAATTTGCTCTGCTTAATCCTAAACCTATCCCTAACCTTAACCTCAACACACATAAATAAATTGTTTTACTCTGTCGTTTTTAAATGAGACATGGAGCTTTAGTAAAAAGCATTTTATAAAGTCAAAACAACTGCTGATTATGATACTGTAGGGTAAATTTATCTAATTTTACCCCACCCCTGCACTATATAGTGAGCTCATCTGTGTCCTGAAAATGCACTAAAACAAACAAACACTAAGCAGTTGTTCATACCCGCCAGACTGTCCCTGCAGTTACGCAAGCTGGAGTGTTTATAATTAAGATAATTACAATAACACAATCCTAATTTGTTTTTGTGCTTCTGTTGTTTCTCTCTCCCTGCCTTTCACACACACTCTCTCTCCTTCTTTCTCTCTCTCTGCCTCTCTCTATCTTTCTCTTTCAGCATCACTTTTAAACTGCAAGTGTCAGTATATATGGATCCACACTACTACATAGTTTACATATGCTGCTATCACAGCTTGTGTTTTTGTACCCTTTCAGAGAAGTCTTTTTATTCTTGAATTTTTACCCACTCTTCCTGAACACTTCTAGGTCTGCAATGTTCCTGCATGGTCTTGTTTCATAGCATGTTTAAGGTCTACGTACAGATTACAAATGACGTTGAAGTCAGGGGACTGTAGGGACCAAAGGATCATTCCAAAAGCTTCAGTTGGGTTTCTTGAAGCAGTTCATGGTAGATTTTGAGGTATGTTTTGGATCACTGTCCTGCTGTAGAAGCCAGGTTCTTTTCAGCTTCAGCTTCATAACTGTGTCACATTTGCTAGAATTTTTTGATATTAAGTCAAGTCAAGTCAAGTCAAATTTATTTATATAGTGCCTTTTACAACAGATGTTGTCACAAAGCAGCTTTACAAAGAATCCGGGTCCAAGCCCCCAGTGAGCAAGACTTGGCGACAGTGGCAAGGAAAAATTCCCTCAACAGGAGGAAGAAACCTTGAGAGGAACCAGACTCAAATAGGGGAACCCATCCTCCTCTGGTCGACACCAGATAACAGCACAGACACAAAACAGTATAAGTGGATACAGTTTAACACCACTGTGCAGTGCGCCGGCTGCATCAGTCACGTCAGACCCTCTTAGGACAGGCAGCTGCTCAGCTCAGGGAAAAAGAGGGGGATGGGGGGGGGATAAGAGGGACATAGTTAGGAAAACAAATTAACCAAAGGCTCAACTAAACAGGTAAGTTTTTAGCCTAGACTTAAAGATGGAGGCTGTGTCTGAGTCCCGAACACAGACTGGTAGGTTATTCCAAAGCTGGGGGGCATTGTATGAAAAGGCTCTTCCCCCTGACGTAACTTTATTTATTCTGGGTACTAATAATGAGCTGCACCTTGTGATCTAAGTGGGCATGTTGGTTGATAATAGGAAATAAGGTCACTGAGGTACTGAGGAGCAAGGCCATTCAAAGCTTTATATGTCAGAAGAAGAATTTTGTACTCAATGCGGAATTTAACTGGCAACCAATGTAAGGTACACAAAATTGGGCTAATGTGGTCAAATTTCCTGGTTTTGGTGAGAACTCTGGCTGCAGCGTTCTGGACTAACTGAAGCTTGTTAAGGTTTTGGCTGGAACAACCAGAAAGCAGAGCGTTACAGTAATCTAACGTGGACGTGATAAAGGCGTGAACTAACGTTTCTGCATCCTGTAGCGACAGTGCATTTCTTAATTTAGCGATGTTACGCAGGTGGAGGAAAGCTATTCTGGTAATATTGGTAATATGCTCATCGAAGGCCAGACTGGGATCGATCATGACACCAAGGCTTTTTACAGATGCGTCTAGTGCAATTGAGAAATTATCGAGCTTAAGAGTAAACGTAGGCAGATTATCCCTAGCAGCTTTTGGACCAAGAAGAAGAACTTCTGTTTTGTCCGAATTTAGTAAGAGGAAGTTACTTGACATCCATTCTTTAATGTCTTTTGCACAGTCCTCTATCTTATTAAGTTCAATATTAACTGGAATCTATTCTTCCATCTACTTGTGCAATGCTTCCCAAACATATCTTTGGTGATTGTGGGCAAAGAGTTCAATTTTTACTAAATAAGTTCATAGCACTTGTTTCCAAAACACCTCTGGCTTATCTAGACTTTGTTTAGCATACGTCATTTCTTTTGTGACGAAAGTCTTCAGGTGACTCTTCCATGCAGATCGTGTTTGTGCAAGCAGTGCTATATGGTGTTGGTTAAACCATTTTGAATGTCCTTTGCTGTCATAAAGAGGTTTTGCTTTGTATTTCTGGTCAGCATACGAGCAGCTCTATCTAAGAGTTTTTTGGTCTTCCAGATCTAGCCTTGACTTCCACAGTTCTCCACAGCTGCCATTTCTCAATTACATTTTGGACGATGGTAAATGCAAGCTCAAACTTCTTTGATATTTTTTTATGCATTTGCTTTGTAGATATCAATTAGCTTAATTTTATAAATCCTCAGCCAGTTGCTTGTAGCGATGGTAGCT